CCCCAAAACCCCAAAACCCCAAAACCCCAAAACCCCAAAACCCCGTATTAAATCTCCAGCACTGAATTTAATAATACAATTTAAAGAAAAGATTATTTTCTCTATCATGGGACATGAATACAGCTGTTGCATCTATAAAAGGCGATCTCTACAACCTATAGACACAGAATCTTGCTTTAGCAACAATAATATCGGTAAGCTCTAAATATAGCTTCTCCAAGACTATTTTCTCCTCCCTTACAAGCAATCTTTCCCAAATAAACCTGCTATTTTATAAAACCCTACCAAGACTATTCAGTAAAATGGTCTTATCTCTCTCAAACCACCTACTCCAATTTTCCATCCAAATACTATATTTGAATACTCTCCCATTAAAAGCTAAAAATTTAGCAGAGAGAGAGCCTGTCAGAATCTAACTAGCAAAATAGCCACATAAAATTGCTGTCTTTTCATAAATTTTATTCTTATTGGAGAGATTGTTTCTCGGAAGCTTTAGAAGCCTGTAGCTAACACTTAGACTATATGTTTCATGGTAAATTGCTTTTAGACTTTCCATAAAGAAATTGATAAATTTTAAAAGATATCCAATTCTTGAGATAAAGTTTGTGAAATTTTGGACACAACACAGCCAGAAAACAATGTTTTAGTGATTTAAAGGATACTTGGGCTCCTTCTGCAATCATATTAATTAAAATTAGAAAATAGTCAGATTTACCTATTTTTCACATAAAATGTTCAGAATAAATTTTTGAATGCTTCATTATCACATTCTTCTGGTATTCAGTATTCATAAGAAATAATGAGTTTCTAATGCTCTCCTGTTAAGAATACTTATAAGGAAAGCATAGACAAAGAACATAACGGTTTAGAGTTAGAGGCCCTTATTTATTCTTCCATAATTTAAGTGTCAAGGCATAAAATTTCATAAAGTTGATTCGATGCTTCAGTGAAATAATAATTAAGAGAGGGAGATGAAACAGTCCACTAATCAATTTTAATAAGTTGAGATTATAATTTGTTTGAATTAAGAATTATTCAAACAGCTTTCACTCGACATTTTTATACAGTTTATTATGTGTTCAGGATTTAGGATGAGTTTTAATTTAAGATTTCGGTTTAATGAATAAATGCACAAAATCCTTCAAATGCTATAATATACTCCTCTGAGAACTTTTTCTTAAATATCAGCAAAAGCATAATATCTCAAGCATCTTTCCTTACCCACAGGCAACATTAACCACTAATTCCTTGTTCCTCATCGACTCATTCTGATCAGTAAATTCATAATTGAGCTTCAATTCTTCCATCCTATTCTTGTATCAAGATTTCGGGTTCACCAACATATTCTGTGAATTACCTGGAGTTCTGCTACTAGATTTCAGTAAATATCATCAGGGCTTCCTAGTATCTTTGTCGTTGCCTTGATCGTCCTTCTCAATAAGCATAATAAAGCCTCTTAGCTTTCTCACTTAATGCGAGTTTGTATGGTAGGATGGTATGTTAGAATCGATTCAAATTTTATTATTAACATGCAATTTTTGGTTTGGTCCTCGCTAATCTTGCCATTCCAAATTGAGACCAACTTCAGAGAACCCTTATTATCAAAGGATTTGCATCCGATCAAATATTTAGAAATGAAAAAGTAGATAAATTAGAACTTTGGCATACATGTTTAACCAACTTTATTTTTATTGGATCTGATGCCTTAAGAAGAGGTGTACTTTTATAAATATGATAACTCTCTTAATCAACAGTAGACGCTTTACTCTATGTGAAATAAAAGTAGCTCTAAGTTTTAGCTTTAAAACTAAATTTATGCAAGGCTTATTATTTGGGATTGCCAAGTTTTTACAAACTCTCAAGTTCTCTTTCTTCTCCATTGAAATTTCTGATGCAAAAATATCTTTTATTTCCAAAAAATCGGTTTATTTCTAATCTCCCTTTTAATAGAAGCATCGAGATATCAAAAATGAACTAACAACAGAATCTCCTCTCAACAGATTAAAGTACTCAAACTCGTAACAATATAGAAAACTAAAAGTGTGGGCAACCCAAAATTAAGCCAGTCTCATTATAATTCACAGGTGCGCCATTTTATAATTGTTCTTTAGAATAATTTTAAAAGGAAGAAACTTGGAAACTTTAACACAAAGGTCTCTACAAAAAGAAACTTATATGGGGCAAGTAAGAAGCAAAAGAAGTACAACTCCACCGTTGATCGACAAAGTACTTAATTTGGTATAATATTTAGTCCACAAGAAAGATATGTTGGGCAAGAAAGTAGGAATGAGCTCTTTCTGAACTCCTGCTAACACCGAAAGCTCTAAGATGAAGTCAAGTCCAAATAACAGTTTTTACAGTAAGTTAAAGTTCAAACTTGTTCTTTCTATTATATTAAAATTAGTGTGAACTCAGCTTTGTAGTGTCTTCCAACACCCAAAATTTTTCAAGGCAAACTAGCATAATGAGCACAGATATTATTTATGAAGAAATGACAGGCGAATTTAAGAAAATGAGAGAAAGATACAGCCATAAGAAGTGTTCTCCTTCCAAGAAATTACCTAAACGTGCATCTACAATGTACACTAAGATAGACGGAAAGAAAGCTGTTTGTTGCAACAATGCAATTGTCAAGAACTTTAAACTGATTTAAATATCTCATTCATATCCTAACGTTCTGGGATTAAAATAAGGTTATCAAATCTAAATACAAACCCTTTATCTTTTTTGAGGATTCTCATTCCAATAATTTTAAGAACAGAAAACAGCTTGAAGGTCTATTGAGATTTGTGAAATAAATATTCCAGAGTGTTAATAATTTAATGTTTTTGCTAAACTCAATATTCGGATTTACTCTGGGGTTTTGGGGTTTTGGGGTTTTGGGGTTTTGGGGTTTTGGGG